CTTGAGGAGCTGTGTCAATCAGTTCCTCTCTGGTGAACCACCGATCTTCTTTTGGATCCGTATGATGCCTGAATCTGACGCGATATTCTCTCTTGCGTTTGGGAGGTCTTCCTCGACCCAGCGGCTTTGGTACAGGCAAGTCTCTGTGATCCACAATGTCGTCGATGTCCACTTGGCCATCCATGGTTGGGGGCAGCATCGATCTTCTTGAAGGGAATTGATCTGTCTCAGCGAAAGGTGCAAGCTTTGAGGCATGAAAGACAGGGTGAGTGCGCAGATGACCAGGGATACGGATAACATACGTAGGACAATCTATCTCATCCCCAACGATGTCCAGAACTTCCCAAGGACCAAAATACTGAGGCATTAGTTTTCGAGAGATACTGAATTCTTGTCCTAGCTCACTAGCCTTGCCCCAGACACGTTCCCCTACCTGAAATGAGGACTGTCAACGATGTTTGTTCTCAGCAACAATCATTGCTTGCTGAGCTTTCCTGATGTGCTCGACAACTTATTGTAGCAACTTCTCGTACTACACACCATACTCAAGTGTGCCCGGAGTTGCAGAAGGTCGGTTTTCAGGTAGGAGGAAGTCTAGAGTTGATCTAGGCTTCCATCCCAAGTGCAGCTGATTAGGACTAACGCCGGTACTGCTGTGTACAACGTTGTTGTACAGGCTGGCAATGAGAGGCAACTTCTCATCCCAGTCATCCTGGCTGGGCTTGATGTAATGCCTCAGCAGGTGTTGTACAACTCTGTTCATGTGCTCGATCTGTCCGTTGGCTTCGGCATGATTCCTTGAAGTCAGATGAAGTTGACTGCTCATCTGTTCAGCAGTCTTCTTCCACAACTCACTTGTGAAGCGAACATCTCTGTCACTAACGATTGATTTTGGTAGTCCAAAATCACGCACCCAGTTGTCCAAAAACAACTTGATGATGTGTTCAGTCCTTGCGGTCTCTGGCATGGCAATTAGTCTAGCGTACTTGGTGAATTGGTCTATGATGACAAAGATGTGCCTCTTGCCATTCCTACTGGTCACCAGGGTGTCCATGAAGTCTATGGAAACACTCTGTCCCGGACCAGCGGGGATAGGTAAGGGTTTCAACAACCCAAGCGGTGCTTGAGTTCGCGGCTTGTCCCGCTAACAGACCTGACAGGTCTCCACATACTTCTTTGCATCTTCTAGCATTCTGGGCCACCAAAATCGTTGTACTAGATTGACACTCGTCTTTTTGTAGCCAAAATGTCCGGTTGCGTCATGACATTCTCCTAAGAATAAACTACGCAAACGTTCACTAGATGGAACAACTAACCTTTTAAATCCGGCCTTATCAAGAAAGAGAAGTCCGTCCACCATCACAAACTCATCTTCTGTGGCCTTGTCTTTTGCCTGAAGTTTGCGTATGATGTCCATCGTGACAGGGTCTTCCTGATAGGCTCCCACCAGCGATTTAGTTCCTCAGATACACCAAACTCATAAACTAGCGCCCCTAGATAGTCTGCTCTACGTGACAGCGCATCTGCAACCTTGTTGTACTCTCCCTTCAGATACTCTAGCTTGAAATCATACTGATCGATGACCTCAATCCATCGCTTGAGTGCATCAGAAAGAGCCGGTTGAGTCTTGATCCATTTAAGGGTCTGATGGTCAGTTCTCAAATAGAAGAATTGTCCCAACAGAAAGTGCCTCGAATGGACAAGTGCCTTGTAGAGAGCATAGAGTTCCCTTTCGTAGGTGGACTTTGCCAATTTCTTTGATGGCATTTTCTTGCTCATGTACTCAATCGGTCTCAACTTCTTCCCATCCTGCTGAGCCAACACTGCGCCAATGCCGTATTGGCTTGCGTCAGTGGTTACAATGAAAGGCTTCTGAGGATCGGGCACCATGAGAACCTCATGATTCATGAGTGCATGCTTCAATCGTTTGAAAGCAGCCTCACACTCATCACTCCAGTCCCACGGCGTGTCAAGTCGAGTTAGATCAGTCAAAGTTTCTATAGTAGCCGCACATTCCTAAGAACGATCTGACCTCAGTAACAGTCTGAGGTCGTGGCCAGTCCTTGATACTAGCCACTTTCGCATCTTCCGGCCTAATACCTTCCGCGGATACTTCATGACCCAAGTATAAGATCTTAGTGCGTCCAAACTCACATTTCTCTAGGTTGACCTTATACTTGTGCTGTCGCAGGAGTGAAAGTACAGTCTCAACGTGCTGTGCATGCTCCTCGACAGACTTACTAAAGATAAGAATATCGTCAAGATAGACAACGACAAACTTATCTAAGTGGTCATGGAAGATCCTATTCATGGCATGTTGGAATGTATCTGGCGCATTGCAAAGGCCAAAGGGCATCACTACAAACTCATACAGACCATATCTGGTCTGAAAAGCAGTCTTGTGTTGATCCTCAGGTCTTATTGCGATCTGATGGTAGCCGAACTTCAAGTTTATCTTGCTATAGTATTTACATCCTTGCACCCTATCCAATAGGTCGTCTATGCGAGGTAGAGGCTCCGCGTTTTTCACTGTGATGGCATTGAGGCCTCTGTAATCAATGCACATCCTGAATGTACCCCCCTTCTTCGGTACAAATAGCACTGGAGATCCGTATGGGGAAGTACTCGGCCGGATCCATCCCTTTTCTGTCAGCAATTTCAATTGTCGCCGAAGTTCGTCCAACTCGGCCGGAGCCATCCTATAGATCCTTCCCTTTGGGGTTTTACTCCCTGGAATGATTTCTATGGCGTGGACAACCTCCCTTTCTACGACTCCTGTAGGCTCTTTGAACAGATGAGGGAACTTAGCAACGACGTGTTCTATTTTTGGGGGTGTTTTAACGGCCCCCTCTTTCTCAGAGACATACACTAGGTACATACCCTCCTCTTGGTTCTGTTTATAGTAGTTATAGAACACTGATGCACACAAGCAGCCATAGGTATCGATTATACTACTGGTTGTGAACTTAGTCAGTCTCACTGTTCTTCCATCAGGCAACTTATGCTTTAGCACCTTCTTGTCCCAGTCAAACTGGGGCTTGACAACCTCAAGGTAGTACATGCCTAACAACATATCGAATGGTAAGTCGTCGTTAACGAGGAACGAAATCTTGTGATTGAGTTCCCCTCCTCCATAGGAGAAGGTACAGACTACATCCTTGATATAGTCTGTGACAACCATGCGCTCCTTATTGGCCAAAGTAGATGCTACCGGTCTACTAAGGTGCTGTACCCGGTCCTGTAGGTGCAGCCTTTCCAAGTAGTCGCGACTTATGTAATTCTGTGTGGAGCCGATGTCTATTAAGGCACCACATTTGCGGTCTCCTACAACAACTTCCACAACGAAATGTTCCCCTCTGGGACCTCTTCTTAGTGCCACCCAAGATTCGCGAGGGTCCTTGCTTGACCACTCACTTTCTAAATCTTTTAAGGCATCAGAGACATCCAACGTACAGAGTATAGTTTGGTCTGGATGAGTCTGCAGGGTGACTAAAGAATCATTAGCTATGGCCTGCTCATGAAGTGGGGAGGGTATTTGGCCCACTTCACCATGAGTAGAAGCAGCTAAAACTTCCACCGGCCTTACATGTTTCCCGAGCTAGATGCTTGGGAAGAAGGTACCCCTACCTTAGGAGGTATCTTCTGCGTGACCTTTGCGTTCTTGCACTTGTACTGGGTGTGTCCGTATTCACCACAGTTAATGCAAGCACCACGCACTCTACGGTCCCGCCACACTTCTTGATCAAGGCCTGCCTTGACCCAATCAGCAACCTTGGCTTGATTGGAGGCGGCCTGCCCTTGACTCTTTTGATGGCCCTTCCCTCGGCCACCTGCCTTAGTCTTTACAACTGCGGCGAAGGTGCTACCCTCAGCGGTCTCCTCGCCGCCGTACTCTGTAGGGTCCAACAGGCCTGAAAACTCTTCGATCTCAGTTTGAGTCCCATCAGACTCAACCATCATCAATCGACTCCCCTTCTTCTTCCACTCCTGTGGACTCTTCTTCTTCCTCGTGTCTACCTGAGTAGGCTGAGCACTTCCTAGAGTAGCCTCTAAGTCTAAGGCTTTTCTAGATAAGGTCTCAAACGAATGATACTCGAGGCGAGCCTCACTGGCCAGCAAGTTCCTGAGATTATCGGGCAGACATCTCACGAACATGGTCAATAAGACTTGGTCATCGTAGCGTATGCCTGGCACGACAATAAGGCTCTCTATGGTAGACGTTAGCTCTCTGACTGACTTAAACTTTCTTTGGTCTAGTCTGAGCATCGCATCAGTGGCAATTTGTGCCTCCTGTGGATTATGCCAGCGAGCTTCTACCATGTCTAAGAACTCCTCTAACGTTAGGGTCTTAGCCCAGTCCGCCATACATCGTCCGAACCCGGCCTTCGCTACTAATCCATCTAGCCATTTGGCTGCCTTACCCTCAAGGTAAGATGCAGCAGTAATCACCTCCTCCTCCTGCAAAGTCCTCTTTGCCCTTACCCACACTGGAACTGTTCTCAACCAAGTGTTCAGTTCCTCGTCCTTCTTCTCTCCAGAGAAGGCAAGGGGCGGTTTCATAGGGGTCTTTGGGTACCAATGACCTTGCTGCTGTCCCTGTGGTGGAACAGTTTGTTGTGGCTGTGGAGTAGCACCTGCCGCTGGACCAGAAGAAGAAGAAGCAACAGTCTGTGCGGCTGCTGCAGACGTACCACTTGGCTGTGTGCCAGCTTGCACCGGAAAGGGGCCTGACATCGCCGTTAACGGCAACGGCGACTGCGCTGCTGGCCTAAATCCTGGCCTTTGCATAAGGTCCAAGATCTGGTCCAAAGAGTTCTGCATGAAGTCCAGTCTGCTGTCCACATGCGCATGCAGCGACAGTACACTGTTCTTCAATACTTTCATTTGGTCAGACATGGCTGACTCATCCAAACCCTCTAATGCAGCTTTGTCTGCCTCTAACGTATCAAGCCTGGCTGTTCTATTTTTGATCTCTTTTTCTCTCTCTAACCGCTCGCGGATCCTTTCGACCTGTTGGAGCTCTAGGAGCTCCCTACCGCGTGGGGTCAACGGGCTTAACTGCGAGTCCGCCATTTGACTTGTGGACTGACTAGAACCTACTGACCCGGAAGTACCCACGGGCCCAGAGGGCATTCCCAACTGGGTCCCAGACGAGGACGCAGCAGAGGCTGCGCCGTTAGCCATTGCTGCTGCTCTGGCTGCTGCTGCCTGTTCTCTAGCTGCTGCGTTTGCTGCTGCCAACGCCTGACTTGCAGCTAGTGCTGTTTCCCTGGCTGCTGCGAGAGCACGGGCTCTATTTTCGGCACGAAGCCGTCTTTCGTCTCCCGGTTGTAAGGTCTGAAACACGTGCGGGACCCTAAGTGATCTCGAACGTGTCAGTCTCACATTGTCAACTCTACCCTCATCAGTGTCTGACCCACTCATCAGTTAGGCAAACACTATCTGCACTACAACCCCCTGCTGGAGTCCTACCACAGCATGTGTCTGACCGGCACCTACTTTTCTAAAAATAATTGTGTCCGACAGGTCCCCTACTTGACCGATCAAGTGGCAGCCTACAACATTCACAAAAGACTGTCAACATAGTTTAGTTCTATCATGATTAGTTCACTTACAGAAGCTTTGCACAAAACTGGCTATGGTAGTATACAACAGTCCTATACTAAACTGTCTGTGAGGTGTTAGCAGTCTGTCAACCAACTAATCAACAATAAAACTAAAATATGTTGCAGATGTATGAACAGTGGATATAGTTGTGTTTTTCAGTTGAGCACCAATTAGAACCTACCCTCCCCTCAATCCAACATGCTGAAGAGCATCTTTGAGCAGCAGTGTCTTCGTGTGTAATGTCGGCCCACCCCTGTGCCCCAAGTCATTGCCGAGCAAGCCAGCCCATCCACTCTTATTTACCCTCGTACGGAACGAGCCTTACTACCCGGTTTGATCTGGCTGATCAGGAGGGATTTAAGGAGAGCCCCCATCTCCTCAGNTGAAACTCCGACGAAACAGTTTGTCACAGCCCCTCGTTTGTTGTCCTCTTCTCTCTCCCTCTGCCTACGGTTTACCGGGCAGTTCTGTTTGTGACGATATATATATATATACATATATATATATATATATATATATATATATACCGGGCAGTTCTGTTTGTGACGATATATATATTAACTTTGTGTACAGGAAACCTACTTAACGAGGTGATAAGAGCATCCCCGGTAAGTAGGTCCCGGCGTCGAAGGCTCCATCTATTGGTGGGGAGCTGCACCTGCTGGAAATCGGGTCCAGCATCCCTGTACAATGATGAGAATGTATCTGCTGGAAATCGGGTCCAGCGTCCCTATGCAGAGATGTGTTGATGTGTTGACGACTCCACCTTCCTATGTATGCACGTTTAAACAATATATGTCAGATGATGGGAGAACCCTATCCTTCTGATCAACAGTATCTCCATAACAAACTAGGGCATCGAGACCAATCTAATCAATCAGACGATACCCTAACCTTGATGTGATGTGTATGACGTACTACCTATCCATCTGATCAACAGTATCTCCAAAACAAACTAGGGCATCGATACCAATCTAATCAATCAGACGACACCCTAACCTTGATGTGATGTGTATGACGTATTACCTATGTATGCACATTTAAAGAATATATGTCAGATGATGGGATAACCCATACGATCTGATCAAAGGTATCTCCAAAATAGACTGGGGCATCGAGACCAATCTAGTCAATCAGACGAAACCCTAACCTTGATATGGTGTGTATGGCATGTTGAGCTGGAAATGAAAACCAGCTTCCCTATACGATGGTGAGTTGAGAAGTCAAAGAAAACCTATCTATCAAACGAGGGGGCAAATCCCACACGTTAATATGATGTGTGTAAGCTGGGAATCATAACCAGCTTCGTTATGCAATTGCAAGGAACATGAATATGGACGAAGCACAAAAATCCAAATTGCAAAATCACACTGAAGTCCAAGTAGTCAAAGCAAGAGAAGATAGCAGAATGGAACCGAGTAACCATCCATTTGAGAACGATACAGAAGAATCGTGAGTCAATGTCCAAGCCCAATCGGGCAACAACAACAACATAACCCAATGTAGCTCTCTCTCTTGAATGGCGCCAGGCGCCCTACCTACTCTACAACCTATCACTACAACTACAGCATGGAAGCAACCAGACAACTTGACGACCAGCGAGTGATGACGTCAACACCAATGCCAACCTCCTCTCCACCAGGTACCTCCCTCTCTTCACCCTCACTCTCCCTTGTTATCCCACACAGCGCCCTTCACCTCCRAAGAACCACCTTCGCCCTTCACCTCCTTCTGCGCCCACAGGCAGCCCGGCTATGGYYGYCAGCGCCCTSCGCCCAGGCTGYGCTCTACCGCTTAGCGCCAGCCTGCCTTCCTCAGCCTARCGCARCGCAGCAYACTTGCAACGCAGCAGCGTGCCGGCCTTGCTTGCATTGGCCAAGATCCCTGCCCACTYGCCCTCTCTGCCTATATGCCAGTGTTGCGTGTGGGCGGCCTCCCTTGAGCCTGCGCCTGGGCCCCAGTACCTGTACCCAGGTCCAGTGTGGTTGGGGCCCACGYAGTACARTTGTGCCTTCTTCATCCRGGCCTGSGTCCAGATTCAGATAGTGGACCGATTTCCCATTGGCATTTTCGGCCTCTWTTTCCAGTATGCATTTGCAGAGATCCKGTACTCGGTGCACTCCAACCAACTGGCGTGCGGCAACTGTATGGACCCCACTTYGTGAAATGTTTGAACAGAGGGCTCTCGTTGATTTGCTGGCCCGCCTTCACTTAGGGCGGGCACGATGCTTGCTGGGGGCCTTGGCCCAGAACATGTACACCACGGCAAGGCCCCTTTGAGGGCTCAATCCTCACACAGTGAACAGAGGCATTGATTACTCCCCTACAGAAGGGAAGGATTGGCCTCCTGTTCATGAAAAACGAGAAATGTTCATTTCTGACTTCCTGCATGCCAGCAAAATTATCATCATCGACACCCAACAAGCAATCTTCAACTCCACCAACAGCAGATCGGGGTGGCGAAGCCCTGACCTCTCTCCCCCCCTGATTGAAGTTGCAGAGACCAACTCCAATCAGCAATCCATCCGAACTCAACAGGGGGAAGAACATCTAACCAACTCCCACCCTGTGCCACCCAAGGAAAGACAGACGAACATAAAAGTACACCAGGTCAGGAGGGGGGGGGAAGGAGAAACACACTCTCACCCCGAAATCCCACGACGGCCATCCTCTCAGGCCAGTAGTTCCCCACCACCGCTCTGTTACCACCATGGCAGCCCTTATTATTGCCCACGTTGTTGTTAATGGCTTAATTGCCGCTGTTATTGTTGTTGTTGTTGTTGTTGTTGTTGTTGTTGTTGTTGTTGTTGTTGTTGTTGTTGTTGTTGTTGATGATGTCGCTGTTGCTGTTGTTGTTGTAGTTGTTGTTGTTGCAGATGTTGTTGATGTCGTCGCCATAGTCGCCTTTGTTTGTACGGTGATCGTCGCCCCTACTGCAGCCGCGGCCGTCATCAGTACCTCCCCCACCCACTCGCCCACCTCCACAAGGGCATACTCCCTCTCATCAGTACCATGCTGAGGGTGAGGCTCCCCCACCCACTTGCCCACCTCCACAAGGGCATACTCCCTCTCGTCAGTACCATGCTGAGGGTGAGGGTCGACGTCAGCACCGGGAGTTATTGTCTTTGTTGTTGCTGATGTTGTTGTTGTTATAGTTGTTGTTGTTGTTGTCGGTGTCATTACTGCAATCGCTTCGCCGCCGTTATTGTTCTTGTTGTCGTTGTTATTGTCACCCATCCCACCCTTCTTGTCAATCCCACCCATTCCTTGCCTGTCGTCATCACCCATCCCACCCTTCTCGTCAATCCCACCCCTTCCTTGCCTGTCATCTTCCACAGCCACCACCTCTGCCCTACACCCCTGTTCCACCTCCAGTATTGTTGATGTTGATATTGTTGTTTTTACTATTGCTGTATTCACTCTTGCTTTTGCCGTTGCCGCCGCGGCTGCTGTTGCCGCCGTTTCCACCGATGCCAATAACCCCCACTCCCCTTCCCACTCACCTGCGTTACCATCGCCAACTTCCCTCTCATCATCAACCTCCCACTCGCCTGCATCATCAGTGGCGTAATCCCTCTCTCCATCACCTGGGGCACCCTCATCCTCTACCGGATAGGAGAGTGCCATCAAGTTAACCCACCTCTCTCCCGCCACCCCCTCATGCTCGTCACTCTCACACACAGCAACATCACAGCTCGTCTCACTTTCGAAATCCCAGCTCTCCCACACAGCGCAGAGGTTTGTAAAGTAGCAGGACATGTCAAAATCATCATCCTGCTCACCTTCAGTATCCTCTGCAAGCAAGAGGTCGTCTTCATTATAGCAGAGCATATCCTCTAGTGGAACTGCTCCCCGTTGTAGCTCCCTCTCCCTCTCCATCTCCATCCCACACCCAGATTGCTGCGCCATCTATTGCTATTCGTCGTCGTACTTCACCGCTGGCACTACCCCTGTCCGCCCGCTGTTACTCATTTTCCTTGCAAAAGGCCAAAAAAAAAAAAAAAAAAAAACTGATGCCTGAAAAAAAACCAAAAAAAAACTAGGCTACCAAAGTGGCCCGTGGCCACTTGCCCGGCCGGGCCAAAAAAAATAAAATAAAATAAAATATTAATATATATATTTTTTAACTTTATTTTTTATTTTAAATATGGTAAAGATTTTTTTTTTTTTTTTGGAAGAATCATTAGCTTTTATTACAAATGAAAGGAGGCCGGGAATTCCTCACAAACAATCCGGAAAATATGACCAATAACCATTTTTTTTTTTTTTTGAAACAATCGCACCGATGGTAGTGGTGCTGATAAGAGCAGACACCACTACCACTTGAGGAAGGGCTCCATCTATTGGTGGGGAGCATCACCTGCTGGAAACCGGGTCCAGCGTCCCTTATACATTGTAAAAACAGGAGAACAGACACCCAGGGCCCTGGGGCCAAGGCACTAGCAAGACTCTGACGGTCAGGTGTGGAGTCGACGGGGCTGGGAGTCTGGGCAGGGAGCCTCTTCACCTCATGCTCGGCGCCAAATAAGAACTGCTATGTAACTAGCTCCTCTGCCCCCCTCCTGTCGGCTGTGAATCAAATCACCCTCCATACCACTGCATTTCTACCAGGCTATGTGAGGGGGGGGGGAAGAAGTCGGGGAAATTTTCAGGGGGTGTTAAGGGGATGGAGATATCCACTTTCGTCCATTCATTAAAGATCAATCAGTAATCCCTTACTATCTCTCTTCTCTCCTGGTCCTCCCCCGATTCCTGATGTTCCCCTCTCCATTCTACCTTCCCTATCCTCCCTCCCTCGGGTCCCCCGAGCCAGCTCGAGCAGAATTCCTTTATTCTTTCTTGGATATCTTTTTGCCTGTCAAGGGTTCTGATTCTTGTTTTGACCCCCTCCCATTTCCCAGTGATGTCTGTTTGGATTTGTTGTTGTATAGTCTCCGTAAACTCAGGTCCTTCTAGTCTGGCACCTTCCATTTCGAATGTGCAGCGCCGTCTCCAGAGTGCCCAGATTACCGCCCTGCGTCCCGTTCTGAACAGATTGTCGGTGAAGTCATCTAGCTGACTTGTGAGGCCTTTGGGCCAGGTTTCGAGTAAGATCGCCTTCCAGTCCCACGGCCACGGGGCCTTCGTCTCTAGCTGATCCCAGATTCTGTCCCACCACCTCCACAGCCAGAGAGCCCCTGCGCATTGCAAGAAGATGTGTTCGATAGTCTCCGGCCGTTTCTTGGATGGGAACGAGTTGATGCACAGTTTGCACCAGGGGAGAGCACGACCTCGCTGCTCCAGGGAGGTTCTATCTATCATCCAGTCATTAGTGGGGAGGCAGCGGTGTTCCAGTTGCCACTGAATGGAGGCTATTTTGGCCGGCTTCACTTTGGCCAGCTTGAACCACTTGACTGGTTTTAGTTCTTCCTTTCCGACATTTAAGTGGTTCCTCCACCGCTCTTCTACCTGGTCGCGTAGGTCCATTGTCGGTTGACCAATAACCCTAATTGGGCTGTTGCTGGAAAACGGGTCCAGCATCCCTTCCTTTCACTGGTCTATCCTCATCTTCCAAAATCCCTTGAAGCTCAAAGTAATTTCGTGTAGAAACGAGGCACCATCTTACTTGGTGCTAAAGTTCAGTCAAGCAGATCATTGCAGTGTTGCTCATCAATATTAAACTACTATCGAATCATGCTCAGTTGCCTAAATCGGCAATATTACTTTCCACCAGGATTCAAGTAAACGGCTGAGCCGTTAGAAACTAAAACTACCTATAGGCTCAAAGACCAGGAGCTGGGCAACAAGAATAAGCTGTTGGGTTACCCTCCCATCGTCACTATCCAATCACACTGTAAAAAGCCTTTGTTGCCTAGACGGGTTTCCCACCACGTACCCAATGGATATAACTCTACTTTGCTCTTCACCGGGTCTTTCATTTCGTCCAACCATTGGTGTTCCCACTGCTTCTTTGTGCTAACTACTCTTATAATGACTACAATCGACTAACGCTCCCACCACTGACGATGGCACTCACACTGCCCCCGTAGTGCCGCTGTCGGTAATCAAAATGTCACGTGACAGTTCATATTCTTGCTGAGTGGAAGACCTACGTTATGTTTCCCAAAAACTTCAACACCCCCACAGACTACAACACTTAAAGTGCGGCTCCCCAACAAACGGAACCAATAAATCTAGTCTTTAGAAACCAAGGACCGGGAGCTGGGGAGGAAGAATAAGCTGTAGGGATACCCTCTCATCATCACTTTCCAGAACACTGTAAAGAGCTTTTGTTGCCAAGACGGGTTTCCCACCACGCACCCAATGGATACAACTCGAGTTTGCTCTTCACCGGGTCTCTCATATCGTCCAACCATTGGTGTTCCCACTGCTCCATCGTGCTGACTACTCTCATAATGACTACAAAGAAAACCAACTTGTCAGAAGGCAAAAATACCTAAAACAGACAGGGAGAAGAAATCACAAATTTACTCCCATACATCACGGATAACAATTATCCCTCTCTCTCAATCCAGAAGTGCTGCAGCAATACGTGTTTCTAAAAACAAAACACTAAGAGCAACCCCGGCGCGAGAACAGAGACAGAATTTTACTTCTCAAGGGAATCAAGAGACAACTAAGCGATCAAAGAAATGCAATACACTAAAATGCGACAGACTAGCCTAAAAAATAGCTAAAAATGGAGAGTATGTTCTCGACTTTTTAACTGAATATGGCCACGGACACAACCGGGTTCAGTGAGAGCTAAAATATTAGACAACAATGACTTATACCAGGGAACAATCCTACCCTAAAACACGAGCAAAAGAGTCGAGATCAAAGTTAAGCCCACAGAAGGAATCAAATTAGGTGAGAAAAGGAAGGGATCACATTCGGAACATGAAGTAAATGCACATAGGATGTAAAAGAGACAGACAGACAGTTTCAATCGAGTACCTCGGCATTGAGGCAATCACTCGACTAGATGTGCGAACGAATGACCTGCTGAAATACCGAAACTAACCTAAACTATGCCGACATGCAACAAGATGTGTAGAACTGAAGCCCTTGGACATGCCGAAGCGCTGCCACTGCAGCTGCACACTCGCCCACTGCGTCCAGATGCGCCGCTCCTTCCAAGCTTCTCCTATTGACCAAGGCAGTCGAGATGTCGTATCATGAAAGTCCAGCGCACGGCCTTTGGATGGTGAGAAAGGAGCCCCGCCTTTCCAGCAAAAGGCTTGAGGGGAGGACGGCTCCTCTGGTGTCGGGATCCTGTCAGGTATGAAGGTTGGTATGGAGGTCAGACACGGAGCTGCCAGGATGCCTTGGAGTAAGAGTGCGAGGCACTCCCTACCCACTCAAGGGCTAGGCTACGCCAGGGCACTGTCGCCATAGCTCTCACACAGCTATGGTGCCTGGCAGGGTAGGCGCCTCGTGGAAAGGATCAGCGTCTACATGGCCCGCCGTTGCGTCCTACTCAGCCTCAGTCGACGACCGGGCGCCGCTATCGCCGCTTCATTAGCGCATGTTTTCGTGCGCCCCCCCCCCCTCTTCTTTTTTTTTTCTTTTTCTTTTTTTTTCATGGTAAAGAATTTCGAGGTGACCCTGAGGCAAAAGTTGTTCAGTTTATTTTTCTGCATAACATAGTTTTTTTT